GCTTGTAATTTAGATACTGTCGATGGCCGAGCACCGTGCGCTGCTGGCACCGTGATACTGTTATTCCCGGAATTGAATACAAACTTTTCAAGCCAAGGTCTTTGCACCTGGAAGGCCTGCCTTGCAATTTCGCGACACCTGCGAGGGCGCACGCAGTTGGTCCCGATCGGACAGCACGATGGCGCATGATTGATTCCCCTGATCTTATCTACCTTCGTTTTCTTAACGATCCCCTTCCGTGTGCCGATAAACGTAGGTGGAAGGTGTTTATAGAAGAACTTGGAGATTTACTAATGCGATTAGTGCCTTTACCAAAGGAAATTTCCTTCGTGAAGTTTCAGGGTTCATAGATACAAAAAGTTTCAACGTTCATAGATACAAAAAGAATATGAAAATTTTCGGGGACTGAAAGAACTGCGCGGGTGTATGCACTTCCTTTCACTTAAATTACTTTATTATGTATCGATAAAGGATCTATTCTATCTATTATCTGACGATTTAATATTTACGAGCCCCCTCGCAAATCTCGAAACGTCAGAAAACAGAATATGAAAATTGTTGGAAATGAAAATGAAAGAGACATTCATGTAATTGTGTGGGTGTGTGCACTTTCTTCTCCTGAAATTACCTCTATTATCTTTCTATAGAAGGGACAACAAGCCTTAAGTTCCGGATCGTCATGGAACAGGGATATATATATAGCTTCTGGTTTTTACGGAAACCCGGAAGACACCTGCGTGTACGATCCATTTCCAGTGTGATCGTCCACCATGGGTGGTTACCAGGTTAATCCTCGATTGACCCTGCTTTGCACGCAGGTTCGACCTGTCCACTTTGTCGCCGGAGAAAAGGGGAAGAGAGACGGATTCCGGTCTGGCACGCGACCGGCAGAGAACCGCAGAGGCACGATGACAAAAAGGCCGACGGGCGACGCGGTCGTCACACACGCCTGTGCGGTCCTGTTGGGTCGGGCGAGGTTGAACGAGGTCGGTGGATCGCCTCCTTAACATAAACCTTGGACCTTCCGTTCAGCGTTGATCAATTGGACGAAGGGGCTTGGTTGCCCGTGGCCGTGTCGTGCCGGCTAGACAGCTTGTCGATAAGCTTCGTGGTAACCGGACGAGGCAGCGACGCGTCGCCCGATCTCGCGGATCGCGGCGTCTAACGAGAAACAGCCCGGTTAATCGACGTGAACGAGCCTTCGAAAGCTGTCGCGGCTAGACTACCCTTCCGGCAGCAACGGTGTGTGTAGAATACCGTGGCGTATTGTGCCGCGCAGCTTCTTGCAGGCAGGATCTTTTGTGCATGGACGGATAAAGAGCAACCGAGAGGAGGACCGTTTCTGTGTGGTCTATTAGAAACGTACACGCTTGTGTGGACTTCGTCTTCGTCGTTGGGCTTTGATTTCCTTCGATCCTCCCTCGGCCAATACTCACGATCCGCGCACTTGCAGAAACTGAAAGAAAGATCTCTATTTAGACTTTTCTACGCTCTAACCTATTTTTTTGCATGAATTCACAGTTACATGGTTTACAGTTTCGTTTATAATTGCACGATGAAACGATAAGATTAAGAGTTAAATCCTGCGTAAAAATTACAACAATCGACAGTATTGCACATATGCTTTAGTTGATGATTAACATTTGCCGATAATTAACGAGCGATACTGGAGAAGAATCCATGAAAATAGCCTTAAGTATCTATAAAAATAACGTTGATGAACCTGAAGACTTCATTCAGTGCAAGTTTAATTGAGAAAAGACAGTCAGGTGACATGTTGAAACATCATTGTAAATGATCCTAACGTTGAACGATCTGTATGATTTCGAAGAAATTCTTATAAACAGCCACTGGAAGAAAAAATTGGCACGGAACAAAGGCGATGGTGACGTTATTCTAATAAGAAGAAAATTCTTACTCTTTGACTTTCTTTCTTCGCACGATTACGAGACCCATTTGTCTGTACATTTGAACAATTCTTCCACCAAGAATTTGTGTTTTAATTTCGAAAATATAATTCGTGCATCTGATAGCAGAAGAAAAATCGGCGCGCATCTTCTACGAACTGTAAAGTGTAAACGTATAAACTGGTGAATTTTATGGATGACGGAGCAAGGCGA